ACAATAACACCTCGCGTTTGCTCAAAAAAATACGAACAAAATCACTTGATCAATGCCGAGGTTAATAGAAAGTCGGTCGTTGCAGGTATTGTATTGTGTTTTTCTATGGAAGTTAATGTATGCTGTTTAAAAACCTCGCGATTGCTGAACAAGAAAACGACACATTCATATTCCAATGCCGAGGTTAATAGAAAGTCGATCCTGGGAACTACTATTTTCAGCTACAACGAGGGTAGTGCAATTTATGATGTAGAAGTTTAGAAGTAAAAAACAACTAGGACGTAATTCAAAAACACTTTGGCCTTGAATTTCCGCCAAGTCGGGATTACTTAAGCGCATTATAATGGCTCTGTTCTTTCTAAAACTGTGATTCGCGCTTATTCAGGACAAATTTATAACTAATTAGTCTGCTTGGTGGGTAGCCTAGTAAGTAAGCCCAGTTTTATGCGGCAGCCGCATGGAACGACACCTAACTTTCTGTCTCATGTGGTGGACGTCGGAAAATTGTTCCTAAGAGAAGAAAGTGACCTGCAAATTACCAAATGTAAGCAGTAGTTATTCATGGACCGCTTCTGGAACATTATAAAAGCCGGACGAACTGTGGATTGAATACCCAGAAGCATAGCACATGAACTTTTGCGGCAAAATAATGAGTCGGCATGGAAACGCATTGAATGCAATTCATCTGACCCCTTGTGAGTTAATTCTTCAATATTCAAAGTATATAAAAAAAGTTCCTTACCGCCACCATTACCATGATGATCGATGTCAAAATCCCTGAATCGATTCTCGATTTGTTTCGGACTCAGATTTCTTGTCGTTCCAGAAAACGGTGGACGTGTTGGTGAGCTGATCAATAGAAGTCATTACAAGAATATCAACAACGGCTGTAAAAACTACTGTTGTAGACTGTTTATGAGCTTGGTAATATGCTAAAGGATGAGCATTTTCTGATAAAATCTATTTCTATTCTAAAACTGAGAAGTTGTTAATAGCCGGCAAACTTCTTACTAGGTAAGTACACGTTTTTTGTTAGTCTCACTTCACTTATCACTCTCGAAAAATTGCCAAAATGGCTTATACGATATCGCAGCGTTATTTTTGGTTATGACCATGACCCATTGTTTCTTGCTAATTTTTTACAATATCACCTATTTTTTATATTATTATTTAATTTTTACTAGAACTTTCAAACCAATTTTTTTAAAAACATAAAACCAAAATATCCCACATATTTAGCCTGAAGTGAAGAAAAATTCAAAGTTTTTTGATCATTTAGACCTCTGTTTCTTGGAATATTGTGACTTTTTAAGATTTGGACTACCGTATCCATTAAAAGAATAGCGGAGAACTAAATAGATCAATACAAAGATATAGTATAGAGCATGGTAAATTGTTGCACAATGTTTCAATGAGAACACAAATACACCTGCGATCGGGTTCCACGAATAAACTTCCCCAGCTGTCTCGATTTGATTGCTTGCTGAAGTTATATTTTTCAACGTTTTCATTTTCCCAATGAATACTCCAATAAACAAGAAAGACCTTTCAGATCTAAGTGAGAAAGTTCGCTAACATTTACTAATCTCTTTGGTAGAAAGAAATTTCTCATATTCAACTAGTACTAATACCATCCAATATTGATCAATCCCTCAGGTATGTGCCATGAATTAGACTTCATAAAGCACCATAGAGGTGTTTGAATTCATATTTAGCAGATAAAATGACTTTTGGGTGTTTTACGATGTATCGAGACAGTACTTTTATTCTCTTTAACAACATGGCGAATTTATCGACACCCGCGGAATGGAAAGCTTAGTGCGCACAAGGCACGAGATCGAACCGAAGACCACGCACGTATTTATTGTAGCGCACCTATGACCACTGCGCCACAAGTGTCTATGATGTTCCAAATCTTGTTCTATTAGAGCCTATATACTTCCTCAACTCTTTATTACTTTTAATCATTGCTCCCTACTGCACTTAGTTAACAAAAGGATCAGAGCTTTTAATAAAAAGATGAAGGATAAAGCTCTCGGCGTTGATCAGTGACTGCGGGATGCGCCACGAATTGGACCTCATTAAGCATCTTTTGGAGGTGAATGAATGCATATTTGGCCTATTCATTGGCTCGCGATGGCCTATTGATGTATCGAGTTAGTGTTACTATTCTTCCAGACAAGTCTGGTACGAATTTGCCGACACCAGAGAGATGAGGACTCGGTGAGTCTGGGGCACTGGGATTGATCTCATGTGTATTGCACGGCCTCTCCAACCACTGCTGTACACGCGCCGCACTTTAATACTATTCAAATATATGAGAAATATTTATTCCCATCCAATTTCATTTCCTTCGTTTCGTTTTCTTTCCTTTTTCAACCTTATACTTTTCTAGAGCTTCCTAATTCCATCGTAGGCTGACACCACAAGCACTCGCCTTTGCCTGAGGGACGATTTTTTATGAGACAGCGGATGCAGTTCAGATTATTATTCCTTGTTCGACCATTCGACTGAAATATTGAACTGCTTCATAACTTGAGCGTCGTAATTGGAGAACGATTCCTTGCTTGACGTCACAGGTCGTTACGACTTGATATTGTTCAGCCATCATGAGCCGGTAAAATAGAGAACACGTATGGCCTTATGCAGTCTCTTTTAAAATATTTACTAAACCATGTGGTGTATTTCGCACGATTTTTTAACGTCTACTTATCTTGAAGGTAAATGTAGGTAATATCCATTGTGCTATCTTGTTCTACTGCAATTTTAAGGCTTTCACAGTCATTTCGAATGTTATTGCTGTTATTGACAGAGTTCATAAGTGCTCATGAATCCGTGAATTCATGAAGAAACAAAGAGATTTCACCACCAACAGTGCATTGACAACTAAACGAAACCTCATCAAGTGCACTTCAAGCATGCATTTAGATGTTAAGGAATTCGTGCTGTGCTCATTCTTTTTCTGGATCATAAGACCACAGAGAATTAACCGCTCATGCAAAATCCTGATTCACACTATTCCCGCTTTCGTCAACTTACTCACGACCGTCGTTATTGTTTCCCCAACCATTATAGTTGTTGTGGTTGTTGTTGTTATCGATGTCAATATTGCTGTCGTATACATTATCGCTGAATCAGGCAGATTTTCGCTAATCTACACTTCATGGACGTCAACAACTGTGCCAAGAATAGGAGGTCAGGTGCATTCATAGTCACTTCCTTTCCCTGACTTACAGCTGTATCAGTTCAAAGTTTTCATCCATCAAAAAGAGAATGGTCATGTCTTTGTTCTCCCAGTTAAGTCCACTAACAATTTGCTGACCATGGAAGCATAGCATCGGTTGGTTAGTCCAATGAGGCTCCAGTAAATGTACCACATATGCGCCAGATTTTTATAAGTCGGCTAATTCAGAAACAAATACTCCTGCTAAAAAATCTTACATCTAGCATTAGTCAGCGCATAAAATCGTATACCGGCGATTCTAACCCTTTAGGTTATAAGGTGAAAAATCGTCTTCTTTAAAAGTGCGAGGTCCATTCTAGTTCCAACTTGTTTCCTGCAGGTTTTTTTTTTTGAAAATGAAGGATTTATCGTCCGCTGCAAAGCTTTAAGCCCGACAGAAGAAGAGGTCAGCGTTACACAGGTTTCTGGTTGATTCAACTTATAACCGGTCAACATTTTGTAGGCCGCTGTTGCCTACGATTTACGAGTTGCAAGGCGACTACATGACACGAGTATCTTGCAACTGTGATTCCTTCTGACTTCCCCACCAGATAAGCAGTGTGTCAAACGCGCATGTAAAAGCATTATTATAACTTTAAAATAATGAAATCGTAGATTTTGTCTTAAAGTATGGAAGTGGCAGTAAGACTACCTACGTTTCTCGACTCACTTCTCGCTGCCGCCGCCGCCACTGGCACCGCCCCATCCATTACTAGAACCACTCGAAGGAAGTTGACTGAAAAATTTTTAAGGATTTAAAGCCAATAACCTCTTTTTTGTGCTATTTTTAATTACTCTGAGCTATTAACTTACTTCTTTGAGTATTTCACTTTAAACTCACCCATAAACGGGATTCTCAGCAACGTTGCAACGATCGTAACTGCAACAGCAAAGGCTAACCGGTACCATTTCAACGGTTATACTGATGCATTTGTCACGTGCTAGCTAAAAGAGACTTAACGACAGTGTTACACGTAAAACGTTAAAACCATTAACTTCAATATTTTTCTAAATAAAATGAAAAGGATAAGGCTGTCGGCGTTAACCCATCCCTGACGGATGCACAATGCATTTGACTTCATTAAACATCGTTAGAGTGATTAAATACATATCTAGCCTTTAAAATAACTCGTAGTGCCTTACAATTGTACTGATTGAGTGCTGCTACCCCCTGAAAAGTCTGGTACCAATTTTCCGACCCCGGAGGGATGGAAGACTTGGTTGCCCTAAAGAGGGATCGATCCCATTTGTACTGCAAGGTGCCTGAGACCACTGCGCTACACGCGGCTCCTTTATGCAAATATCTGGATATATTGACGAATCCACCAATTAGTTTCTAAGGTGTGAAAGGTGACTTGCTACATAGTTCCTGAGAAGTCAGTCGACTTATGGGACGACCTGCTGTCGCCACAGGATTCACTGCTGAATTCGAGAAGCAAGGCAACAAACCTTCCCCGATCCACAAACACCGATGACAACCAGTAAAAAAGAGGGAAAAAATCCCCAAGAAGCCTGTTTTGAGTTTCAAGAAAAACTATCGTAAACCAGTATTCAGCATGTCAGTAAGGTTGGAAGAGCTCAACCGCACCCATACTCGAATCCGTCCACAATCGCGGGTGACAGCAACGAGATAATGAGAGGAATGGAAGAAGTACTACGGCGCGTTCGAGATCTTAAGATGAGTCATGTAAGTGTTTATGAAAAATTCAAAAGCAAAAGCAAAAAATGAACGAGAGAAAAGCGTGGATATCGCGTGATTACTACGAAAAGTTAGTTAAGATCGAATTGTTAATTTGTTATCGCAGGTAATTCCTTGCATCCATTTGTGTGTTAATTGCGTTCCTCCTCTGGTGCTAGGTTATCGAAAACCCTTGAGTTCTAATACTTGCAGATAAAGTGATTTAGGCGACGGTTTTTCTAACAACATCTAACTTTAGTGGCTTCATGGGCTGAATTGCATGTACCGCATTCGGTGAACATGTTGCTGGTGGTGCAATTTACTCATAAACTTGCTTGAAGAAAGAAAAATTGCAATAGGAAAAAGAAAAAAATGAGAAGAATAAGAATATAAGAACGGTAGCTCTCTTGTAACCATGCATCTCCACGTCGAACATCCGGCTTTCACCACGTCTACAACCAATGCAGCTGAAGCGGTCATATTGTAACAGTAGGCACCGGAAGGGCATTCCTCTACGCTTTGACCAACGGATTGCATCCGCAACATTTTCATGCCCTGAACTTATTGCAGTGAGAATACTTTTTTTCCACCAGAATAAAAAAACGGTTGCAATTCCATTTAAAGCAATGAGCCATACGAAACCTTTCTAGGGCTCCTTAAATTCGGCGATTATAGAAATCTCTTAAAGAACCATTCATCCCGCGTTCATAATTTCCTTGCAAAGTTTATGGCTGAGCAGTTGGATCGTCATGTTAAATTTACAAAATTTATTTTCATATTTACAACCGTAACTACACTCAGTATAAACGAAATAATTTCTATTTAACCAGATTCAGCAAATCATTAGTAGAAGAGAATTTCGAGAGAGATCGATTCATATGGTCTCAGCATACTTGGTACTTGATACTTGAATGGCCCACCGTCACTGGTTGTGCGAGTCCCAGCACAATCTCCAATTTTCAGAGAAATGCTGGTTAAGCCATTGTGGTTCCCTAGAATCCTGAGGCCAGCCTGGCCAAAGTCTGCCCAAGGTTTTCACCACCACAAGCACTCGCAGCCCTTGTGGATCAGAGGGAGATTTGCCACCATGCGACTTTGATACCAGGACGGTGGTGGACCCTCGTATTGGTTTACTCTTAGCTAGCCTTCCTGATGGAAACGCCGGACTCCTTCTCGGCTTATGAGACCTTACCAGAAGATGAATCACCGCTGTACATCGCAGTCCAACACCCAGGAACACCTCCCAGCCACGATGAGGCGGTAAACCGTTTGAAGGTCTTGGTATATAACAGTATAAGGTCTCGGTATAACATCTAATGAATTTTCATTAGGCTTCAGACTCATACACTCATACCTCTTAGCTACTCAGACTACTAATGCAATTGGCATTGGACATTAGGGCTACTCAGACTACAAAAGTAAATGACATTGGACGGTAGAAAGTCATGTTTATTGAAATTGTGCATAAGTTGCAAAGATTACAAAGGAATGCTACCAGTTTACCAGTGATGATAACATTCTAAAATCGGTGTAATCTGCAGTCTACCAAAAAGCATCATTCGAAAGCTTCTAAGTAAAAGTAGAAAGAAATAAAATAGACGAATTAACGGCAATTCACTTTTAAGCCAAACTTCTTCTTCCGTGCAGTGGAAAATATCATTTCGAAAAATGAAGGAATCAACGAGGTTCTCCTACCCAAAATAAAATTGAGCTACACAAAACGAAATGTGAATACTGTAGAACCGAAAATGATACTCACGTTATAGCATGTTAATGAATGGGTTACCGGAATGAATAGTAGCAGAAGTTCCAACATCACCTGAGAACATAAAACAAACTAGAAAAAATAACGAAACGGACCTCAAAGAGGAATGGAAAAGCCTCTTGAAGTAAAACACGAAAGCGAATGGGAAATTCTCTTGAAGAAAACTAAGAAAAAATTGGCCTAAATAAGCATATTTTGGAAGGAGAATACAACAAATGTCCCAAGCAGGTAGAAACTTTCAAATATTTAAAAACAAGATTCTTTATTCAATAAAGTTTTTATTTTAACCCGTAAGACTTTCCTCGTCTTAAATGGTCTAGAAAGGCGGCTAATATTTAGGGTATGTAGCGCAGCTTCCAAAAAATAGTTACCAGTCCGGTTAACGACAGGAGAAAGTTATTGACTCGTAAGATAATCGATAAAGCGAATGAAGCGTCAAACGTTCAACGTTTATCAATCCCTGAGGGATCAGCCATGCATTGGAATTCATCAATCATCGTGGAGTTGACTGATTGTAAGTCTAGCCTGTACAGGGACTTGCATTGATCTACTGATGAATGAAGTTAGTATTTTTACACTCCCAGATAAGTGTTGTGCCAATTTACTAACTCCGGAGTGATGGAAGACTTGGTAAGCTAGGGGCGCAGTACCTAACCAACCACCCATGTTGTGTATAGTAGGTCACCACTTATCAGTACGCTGCATGCGCTATAGAAAAGTTTAACCTTTTACACTTTCAAAAATCGATATCGCCAAAGATTATTCCTTTGAGTATCCAAAGGATGCAAGCCAAAGTAATCAACTTGTTGAACACTTATCGAAGAAGAATTCTTTCAAATGAATGCGTGTAGCAGGTGAAGGAGAACTATATCGACTAGACTGACGTTCCCGAATTTTTTGAAAAATCCTTTAGTATTTGTAGTGAAGTAGTCTATTAGATGCCGAATGAAACAGTCACATATTGTGTATCCTCGACTTGCTGCATTCAGTTGAAGGACGTTAGTTATCAATGCTGTGGAAGATAATGGGAACCAGTTTTCTCGACAGCATCTTAGTGTGATCGGTGTAAAAATCACTAACATCTAAACAAATAGTTAAGCAGTTGGAAGAAGTAGATTTTTTTTGAAAAGAATGATTGGTGACCGAGTGTGCATTGAATTCAATCACGCAATGGCTGAAGTGAAATCGGAGATCGGATGATATGGATTCTTCCGGGATCTCTAATGAATACGGTATAAAGTGGAAACCTTTTGACATACGTGAGCCAGGCTTCGGTTCGAGTTACGGTGTGCTTTCCTTGAATGATCACCTTTTCTAATTGGCTAATTGTTAGAATGTTCGCTTAGAAATGGCACAAATAAGCACATAATAGCATAAAATATGATTTTAAGGATCCATCATCTCCATTAGAGCACTTTATTTGCTGCATATATCGAATAATTACAGACTAATCTTTACTTATAATCAACTGAAAATATCTTTCCTGTAAAATATTGTAAATACTATGTAAATATAATGTAAACTGTAAATATATCTTCAACTGTACCTTCAACTGTAAATATTGTAAATACTTTGATCATCTTGGATACCATTAAAAGCACCATTGGTACCCGTTAATTCCAAATCTGCTTAGTGGTGTACGCTAGTTCCGTAGATCACAATGAGCCCCACACTTCCAATACATTTTCAGCACTTTTAGCTAGGATGCAAACACGAGTAGCTCCTTAGGGTAGGCAGTGGCAAAAACTTATTGGCAACCTTGCTTTCGGGAAAGAATGTTGGAATTTTAGACTTTTTATTTACTGCCTATTCTTTTTTAAGGAAGGGTACATTGCGAAATATAACTTGTATAATGCTGCGATATTTGCAAAACTCCGGACCGCAGGTGTCTGCGGTGGGGAACGAACGTGCTATTGTCCTTTCAGGTGAGTAACGCGTTCACCACCACACCATCCACGTCCTTCGTTTCGCCTGTCTCCTAGCTAATTCTATTGATCTTTTGCCATCAGCAATCACCCGACCGATTTGGGCTTCCCAGATCAATCTCGTTTAAGGGTGATTGCTAATGGCAAAAGATCGATAGAACTAGCTGAGAGGCAGCGAAACACAAAGTACCCGCATGGCGTGGTGGTGAACGCGTTATTCACCGGAAAGGGCAATAGCACGTTCGTTCCCCACCGCAGACACCTGCGGTTCGGAGTTTTGCAAATATCGCAGCATTATACAAATTTTGGAATTATTTTAAATTTGAGCTGCTCAACTATAGTATGACCAAAAGGAAAGGAGTTCAACAAGGCAAGACATTCTCACTAAAGTTGCTTACTGCCGCAGTGCAATGGATAATGAGGACATACGACTGAAAATAGAAAAGTACTTGTATCCATGCCAGATTCCTATCAAAACTCTGCTTTACTGGCGACATGGTCATTTTTTAAGGGGTCCCATTGAAGCAGAAACGACGACCAATGAGCTAAACGAAGAGGGAAGAAGGATCAGACCAGGTGTAAATCGGAAAAGACCAAGTTCATAAAAAGTCCATAGGGCGAAGGTGATCATATCAAATGGGGTAGTCGTCTGATTGCAGAGATCACTTCGTACGTGTACCTTATACGTTCAGTGAACGTGGAGAAGAACATGAATTGGGGAATTAGGCAAAAGAAGGAGATCGGAGTGGGGCTGCATTCGCCTCTCTGAAAGAAACCACAGACCAAATGAAGGTCTCGAAGCTCCATGTTCACCTTTTCAAAGTAGTCGTCCTCCTTGAGCTCTGCTATGCAGCAGAGACGTAGGCTGATTCCACGCATCGATACCGAAACATCGGTGGGCTGGTGATGTAACAAAAGCAACGGACGACAGATAGACGAGAGAACTACAGAGTGGACTCCAAGAGGATGCATGCGCTTCTTAGGGTTACCACTGAGCTGACGTGTTTGTACCTACAGTCGATCTGTTGTAGTGGCAACTGCAGATCACTGTATGAGGAGCTTCGCACCCGCCACCATGATAGAATCAAACCACCACCATGGGTGATGTTCGTAATGGAAATCAACGGATAGAAAATGTACTGGAGACTGCACTATTCGCAATGACATGCCGTCAGAGTATTCAAGCAAGTGCGGTAGGATGAGGATCTATTGCACATCTCAGTGCGTTACACTGCAACACTTTTCAGCAGGAAGCGACTGGAGGACAACTGAACATATTACCGAAAACTGATTTACATTTGACAATACTGCTGACAAACAAAATAAAAACTGAACAAAAAATTAAACAAAGCAACGAAAAAAAACAAAAGGGGCGGATACTACAGTGGTAATTATGCCGATATTACGAAAACGGTGCTAGTGCGATCCCGCTCTGGGATCATTAAGCATCTCATCTTTCCAGGGTTCCGGGGTCTGAAAATTGGGACCAGACTTGTCCGGGAAATATTAACTCTCTGCAATCCAATTGAGTACAGTTCAACCCGACTATCCCAAGAGTCCAAGGAGAAATTCTCAAGCAGCAGCCGAAGCCAAACGTAAAAAATTGGAAGGCTTTCGTGGATGATGTATGTGAGGAAACGAATTGAATGCGAGAAACGCTGGGATACGCACAGTAAACGTGAGAGGCAGGTTGTATGAAAAAAAACAAGACGGAAAACTCAAAATGGTCTACGTTAGTGGGAAATCGTTGTTGAAAAAGCTCTAACATGGATCGATTGATGTGGTTTTTGTGCAGAACCTTCATAAATCCATAAAAAGTGCAATGATCTCGTCGTGTTCTAAGCCTTAGCTCGAGTTTTCTCTTATTTGGCAAAGACTATGACAATAAAGAATGTCTAATGTGCGCGGTTCTGACCCATATTTTTTATGTTTAAATGCCGATCCGTGTTGGCAGCTTGTTCAAATGAATCCATATACACAGCCAAGAGTGTCGGCCAGTACAGTACATTAACCCCTCTTCTCTTCCTCATATTCTCAGGAACACTTCATTGCAGGCAAACAACGTCTAGTTGATGTTGGCTTCCCAATTACAAAACTCTCCTAGTGTCTTTTTCAAGTATGTATATAACATAGTCAAGCTCTGCATGGAGACCTCCGATTCTAGCATGTGTGGCCCATTCGCAAACCGGAGTCAACGGTTTCTTTAAATTAAAACATAAAAAAATAATTTTAAGACTTTAACAGCTCTTTGCGTTTGGTCTACATGAGGGAGCTGCAATGTGGGCACCTTCCTGACAAGGGTAGTGAAGCGCGTTTATTTTTTCTAAATAGCTTTCTCTCACTATAAATTTTTAAAACTTCATTCCCAACCCCAAAAAAGTGGCTCTTACAGGTTGCGCGTGAACATGAACGATCTCCTGTATAAATCTAGAAAATTTCATTAAAGAATCATGGATAACCTGATGTTCAGGATAGGACCGAAACTTATATAAGCATATCTAAAACCCTGATGGGCGCGTGTGGCGCAGTGTTTGGAGGCGCCACTGCGACGCACACGTGGAATCGATCCGCGCGCCCATAGCCCACCAAGCTCTCCATCCCTCCGGTGTCGGCAAATTGGTACCAACTAGATACATCGGTAGGCCACCACGAGTCATTGCAAAGGCCAGATATGCATTGAATCATCTCCAACGATGCTTAATGAAGTTGAATGCATGGCGCATCCCTCAGGGATTGATCAATGCCGAAAGCTTTACCCTTTATTTATCTTTATATAAAACCCTATACATAAGTATTTGTATCTGAAAATTCTCAGCGCAGAAAGGACAAGGAGCCAACGTTCTAAATTCATTTACGTCTCACGACATATACTAAGCATGGTTTGTTGCTCATCAGCTCTGGACTAAACAAATTCATAACTAAGCATTGTAAAATTTCTTGTATGAGAAAGTTGCGCAAAAGAAAAAGTGCGAAGAGATACAACTGATGTTAGTGAGATTTTTGTGCAACTTCTATTGCAGTGACAAAGACTTAGTTTTTTGGACCAAATTAGCGACAGTACATACTCAACAGTAATAGCAATAAGTAAAAACACGACGTCATACTGCTTCATCTTATCAACTGCCGAGATTTCTATGGCGTAGATTGGGTGGGGACTTTCTTAGTGTAGGATTGTACGATGATTTTATATGAGAACTTTTTGCTTAACAATAAAGAAAAGCAATGGACAAGGCATTTCAGCAGAATGAGTGACGATTTCAAATTAGTGATGAAAAACATAGCGGTTATGGGAAACATAGGTGCCACCAAGGTATGCTAGTGAGGTACACGATTTCGACAACACATCAGAACAGTTGGCTACGGGAATGAGTTATTACGGTGCTAAGATGTCAAGAGTTCGATCACGGCGCAATCACATGACAGGTACATAGGGCTAATATCTGATATCTGCTGCATCAAACTGAGAGTTTAATGAAGGAAAGTCGGAATGAGTAGGGAAGATCAATCCATGAGGGCTCAAGTTTAAAGTCAACTACATGCCAGTAGAAAGCAAGTGCGTTCGATAACGCCTGTTGAAAGATTGATCTTCCAAGTGATCTCACGAAAACAATGTTTGTACGAAATTGGTTTTTTTTCTAACCTCTATTAACGTTCGATGGAGTGAATATTTCCGAACGCTCCAGCTACATCTATCTGGGTCGGGAAGTTAAGATGGCGAACGACTTAGCTCCCAGAGTTGAGCAAGAGGAAGCGATCGGATTGGGAAACTTTCAAGGGCATCAAAGATTTAGTAAAGGGAAGAAAGAGTACCCGACTCCGTGCCCACCTTTTCATCTCCACGATACTTCATGTCTTTACGCACAGGTAGAAAACCTGGTTGTTGCATACGCAGGATGGAAGGTACAGTTGAAAGGACATGCTAGAAGTATCCCTCACGGAAGTGAGAGAGGAGATCCTAAGTTCAGAGTTACGTCACCGATCTAAAATCGGAGGCGCCAAATATCAAAAATTAGGTGGCTCGGAGATGCGTTCCAGCAACGGCCAGTGAGTATCCACCGTTGATAACTGCATTTCTAGGTATATAAAAAAATACAGCAAGAAATCTACAGATTCTGTAGCTAGAGTTCTTTATGGAAGCCGTAGAAGAAATTCGTAGTGCTTAGTCAGAGGTATTGTTCCACGTGACAGCGAGGAGGGAAAACCCACTGGCGCACTCCTGAGTTACTCGGATATTGACAGGACAACAGGTGACAAGGTGATAGGAGTAGTCTAACAGAATTTTTTTACACACATCTACCAACAAAGTTGTTACAATTAAAGTTTTCTCACTAGAATTAATGATGAGGTCAAAAACGCAAAAAAGACGTAGCGACGTAAAAAAAGTGCTTCAACCGTGAGACCTGCGTACATCCCGAAGAATGCGCAGCATTTCCTTCCTCACAGGCTGCTTCATTTGTAGTTACTAATGTCGCAGATCGCTTTAACTTTCTGGAAAAGGGAGCTGACTTTTAAATCGTTGAGCTTAGACGAGGTTGATAAAAAAATTTTATTCGGCTAACATTTCGACGTTCTTCGTCTTTATCACAGCCGGTGTTCAGAGCTGATGGTCCACATTTGTCCGTCTTCTTGATGTGGGAAAGCCTTCGCCTTCGAATCAATAAGGCATACTCACCCGATGAAATTCTTTCATTGAAGACACTGGCTGTTGGTAGTAGTGATTGTCCGATAATAACGACTTGTTTTTTCCAGACAATTCCTCCTGCAGAAGTCTGTACTAATACCAGCTGGCTCAGTTCATAATAATATTTTAGGAACCGAATTTCCTTTAACCACGGTATGACAAATCAACATATGTTTATTGTTGAGCCTACACATTCAGTTCTTCACACGAGCTCCAATGAGGAAGAGCCGACTTGATGCGACGACGAGGATGCCACATCGTGTAGATGAACATAAAGCACATGATGGTTTGTCATAGCAAGGCCAAACAAAAGTCGCTTTTTGAAGAGGAAGTTAGTGTTTCTCCAGTAAATTAACTCATGTATAGCGTTTTTCAGTTTTTCTAGGTAGCACGCTTACATCCGGAGAATGGGAGTGCCACGATTAGTTGAAGTTTCTGTGATGTATAAAAGCTATAAGGATAAAGCTCTCAGCGCTGATCAATCCCTGAGGGATGCGCCATGCATTCGACATCATTAAGTATCGTTGGGGGTGATTGAATGCATTTCTGACCTTTACAATGACTCGCGGTGGCCTACCGATGTATCATGTAAGTGCTCCTATCCTCCCAGAGAACTCTGGTATCAATTTGCCGACCCCGGAGGGTTGGAAAGGTTGGTAGGCCTTGGGCACGGGGATCGATTCCATGTGTGTGTCGCAGTGGCGCCTCCAACAACTGCGCCACACTCGCCGCTTCGTGATGTATAAACGGTTTCTATTAGTTAATAAACTTTATCTGTATCTGATTTGCAAAAAGAACGCGAAAAAACCACTTAATTCGTTCCGTTATTAGTATGGTTCGTTGATTTATATCTTAAATTTACATTTACATGACCCGTCATCACACCTACTATGCGGATCATGGCGCGTTTCGCATTCGACTCGTTTTCCTCGCCTTTATAGTCCACAATTGTTTTCCAACACTTCACGTGTTCTTTCAGCTGCGTGCGAATGGACTGACATCCGAGCTCGACAGCAGATCGAGGATCCGTGGAATTTGCTCTCAAATAATATTTAAACTGCTGGTCGATCGCTACTGTTTCGGAGTTGAATAAGCCTTGCTTGGACTTTGTGAAATTGTCGCAATACGCCCTTGTCTGCCTTTGTGGGTTAGGGGAAACTTGCTGCCCTCCCAATTGGGTTGTTCCAGAATAACAGTGATTCTGCTTAGTATTACATCATGTAGTTACTTGGTTAGTCGAACGACTGCCTCAGGGAAGTGCAGCAGGCCAAATCGTAATAGGTATATAAGAATTATAAAGCATACATTAGGTTTTACTCTGGCATGCGAACAAGGAAGAGCGGTACTCTTAGTACTATAGTCGTGAATTTATGCCAAATATTTGTGAAGAAAAGTCGACTTCTGCAAGAAGGTGAAACAAAAATCGGCTTTATCCAACACTTACATAGGAATTAATAAACATTTTAGAAAAAACTGAAGGAAAAGATATATTCAGGGATGGAAAATAAACCTAGTCAACCGTTGAACGCCACTTTATCGAGAGCTTGGGCAGTTATTTCTGGCGCAAATATATTACTTTGGTGCTGTGCTTTTGTGGAAGATCAACCTTTAGAATTCTTCTTGCAGTTTTGTGCGGAAGTGGTTTTGCTAAATCTCTCATCTTATAGGACACCTTTTTTCTTTTCCTGCGGTAAGCACTTATCTGAGCCCAACATCATATGGGTATTGGTAAATTATAGAAGGGAAGGGGGTAGAAAGAGAAGGGGAACGTCCTAATTAGAAACATAATAGCAACTTTGGATAAAATAAATGACTAACTTTTTCATGACAAAATAAAGCAACGTTACAGTGTTAAACTGCTATACATCAGCGATCGTAGTGGAAATTATCGGCGAAGCTGCCCAAGGAAGGGAATGGTCCCACGTGAAGAAAAATATGTTCTGTTCTAGCAGGTAGAGCTATCTGAAACAGCCTTTGTATATATGGCTTGCCGAAACGAGATAAGAGGACATAAGGGAACGCAGTAATTTACTTTCGACTTGATTTTCGTATCCCTCATCGAATTTTGAGATTCCAATTCATATAATCATTTTTTATAAGCTGCCTATTCTTTTTCATGGCAGGATCTGATGTGAATTATAACAACATGATGCTGAAGCATTTGTAAAACCCTGGATCGCAGTTGTCGGCGGTGGTGATCGAACACGCTATTACCCTTGCCGTGGACTAACGTGTTCACCACTACACCATGCAGGCCTTTTGTTCTGCCTTTCTCTCAGCCGTGTTTTTAACTCATGAGTGCTATCAGCAATCACCCGTCAATAAGATTGACTTGGAGAGCACAAATCGGCATTGAACCCAGTTAAGTCGAAGCTGTAGTATAAATTACAACACAGTCACTTTTCAAACACGGCTCAGAGAAAGGCGGAAAGAAGAACTCGCATGGTGTTGTGGTGAACGCATTAGTCTTGCAAAGGATAACTGTGTTTTCCATCCCTACCGCAGACCGCATACACCTGCGGTCCAGAGTCTGCAAACATCTCGGCATCATTATGGTTACAGTTTTAACTTATGCCTCAGATCAAACAAAAGTAGGGATAAGCGATAATACAAGTCATCCTTCATTTTTTTTATTTCAGCTTTTCTGTATGTATTTCCAATAATTCCAATGTCTTTTGTTTCAAAGTATTTTCAGCATCTATGAATGCTTCAATTTTTCATAGTTTTCTTCCCTTTTGTGTAGCGGAAAAGAAAGATCGTTCAAAAAATAACTACCGTTCTTCAACTCCAGGCAATCAACACAGTTCAATAGTTCTTTGTATTTTTGTGTCCCTGCATCATATTTGATAGGCATATTTCATGTTTTAAAACGAGGTTGATATGCAAAGAAAATCATCAAATAGATATTTACTAAACTGACGTTCACTTAATCTCAGCGTGAGTAATCAATACATTTCTTTGGATTGATCAGCTCACACGGTGTTAGTATGCAACCTTTATTCGCTTAACGTTTCGACGTCTTCTCCTTCTTCAGAGCTGATGTTCCGTGTCCATATCAATGATCGTTTTCTTTCTCGATGTATTATCGTCGTCGTCGCAACGAATCGAATCTTCTTCAGTGGAGCACTGCTGAAATGAAGACGTCTAGAATTCATCCAGTAGATACAAAGCTTTATGTTATGGAAAAATGCATAAAACTCCTTGTCGTTTATTGCAGGATCCCCATTTCCATTTAAAAAGCTTCTATGCAACTCAACATATCTAAATTCGAAAATACTAATTGAAATGGTTCCAATGAGCTCACATCAGTGTTTCGCTTTGGCTATGCGCTGCAGCAAATTCTGCTTGAATTGGCAGGGAGCGGACTGCCTTTGAGAGTGATAGAGGCAGATCGGTTGGTGGCTTTTTCACCACTTCAGCTACCTGGACGCTATTGGCTTAGAGGCAACAAACTTGCCAAACTAGACAGGAAACATTCACTTGCCTTAAGCAAACATGTGTTTGTAAAACAAGACATATGAAGCAAGTAAAATTAGGGGCGCCGAAAAGATTTTGCCTTAATTCCGGTCACGAAAATAAATTCTGAAACAATGGCTAAAACGAACTCGCTTCCAAACCAAATTTCAATTACTGCCAGTGGAGACGACTGTAATCGGAGAAGGATGGCTGACTATCCTATATTACATTATGTGCTATACAAAACTTCTAATAAATTCAAGGAAAGACCAATAGCGTCAACGACATTTCAAACTGCCCTACGCTCCTCCTATTGGTCACACTGAGCACTAGCTTCATTCCCTCAGATGTGAAATGGCGATATCGAAAATGTGAAAATGATGCCGAGAAAAACGTTTAAATTCTTAAGGATATTTTCAAATTTTAGCATTGGTGAATTTTTTAAGATGAATGCAAAATAAGCAGCTTCTTTACCACACATGACGGTTCCTCTTGTAATGCTATTTTTGCGAAATTTCTAGATTCCATTGCCTTTCCTCGACTCTCCTGGACTAAGATTTGGTGGTATTTTAGGTGGTTTTTCATGCGCTTCTTCCATGTACAAAAAATACTCAAAGGTAAAAAGATGGAGTGAGTATTCAGTAAAATATTAAACAGCAGCTTGTTATTTTGATAGTGTCAAATGACGGTAACTCTAAATGCACCACCGAATAAAATATCACTAAGTCGCACACCTCCTAGATTATAACATAAAGTTACGTTCGTCAGTCACAGAGCACTAACCATATATAAGCGCGAGTTTGTACTTCTCTATTGACCTGACACCTTGCGAATGTCGTACCATACAGGGTGGCAAATGCGCTGGACGAGTTTTTTCTTACAACACTCGTCGCGTTCAAAGCTCACATAGTAGTTCAACCGCTCGAATGACAAAAGAATTGGCGAATAAATACCTAAAAACTCTGAAACTTATTTGAAAAAGAATCACACCATATTTTACTAACCTGCCAAAGTTCTCCAAACGGAATTACCTTCCAAATGTTTACCGCTTCATCCTAGCTGGGAGGTGTTCCTGCGTGTTGGACTGTCGTGTACAGTGGGGGACTCATTCCCTGGCAGAGTCTCCCAAGCTGTGAAAGAGTCCGACGTTTCCATCAGGAAACCCAGCTAAGAGTAAACCAATACTAGGATCCACCACCGTCCTGGTGTCAAAGTCGCTTGGTGGCAAATCTCCCTCTGATGCACAAGGACTGCGACCGCTTGTGGTGGTGAAGACCTGGGACAGATTTTAGCCAGACTGACCTCAGGATTCCAGGAAACCACAATGGCTTAACCAACAAATCTCCGAAAATAGGAATTATGTTGGGGCCCGCACAACTAGTGAGGACGGACCATTCAAGTATCAAGTATCAAGCACCTACCAAAGACCAATTTTTGGTCCAATAAATTTCGTTTTGAAAATAGTTCTTCAGATTCCATCAGATATCCAATGCCATAAGTGCCAGGATTCGTGCAGTGGGATACATGATACGTTCAATGATGTAACATATGATTAAAACATATATAAGCATCGAGTTACGGGCAGAAGGACGAGATTGGGCAGGGTAGGTCCAATCTTTATCGCCTGATACTCACACTCTTCTTCATGAATTCCTAGATCTACCTAGAACTCTTTCACTATCATGTAACGGCGAATATGTAACATGGACTACTGGTAGACAACAATATGTAAGGAAGTAAATAACATTAATTTAATATCAGAGAAATATGAGATACAAGAATGTGAAAGCAAAGCGCTTACCATCCATAACTGCGGGGTCGTACTTCTGTCCTGCTCCGACAGTACCCTTGATCCTTGCCTACGTCGTAGTGTGGGGTATGGGAGATACATTCGACGACTTTTCTCCTACAGCAGTCGCTGTGTTGAAACTTTAAGTAGTCCTTTGATCGCTTGAAAGGCAATAGAATTAGAGAGCGAATACGTTACTTTAGAACATATTTGAAAAAAAGCCACACCAAATTTCAGTTATCTACGAAAGACCAGTACTAACTTTTGGTCCAATGAACTTCGTTTTGAAAATCGTTTTTTAGGTACTTGACGCTTTTGCTTTGTCGACAACTTCCGTTCGCGTTTTCTAGGCTCTGTTCTACGCAGACAAGAAAACCACCCGCCACCGCGTAAACGCTGTCGTTTTCTGTTGCGGAAGCTCACGTCATGCTGCGACTGTGTTTCTATACCACCTTCAATCTGCTTCCACCAAGGCTTGGTGTGTAACAGTGCTTCTTCTTCATAGTCTGCATGGATTATGTAGACCTCTATCCTCTTGGATTACCCGCTTCCCAAACATACCTAAGGAGTTCTAAAGTAATACGTTGCTGTCGTTGTTGCTTTTGTTGTTGTACGAGACAACTTTACGAATTACTTCGTATAAACTATGTCTGTTTATGTGCTTCTCTGATTAATTAAAACTGCAGTTCAACAAGCGTCATTCTGAAATCGAAACGAAAATGGTTCACACACCGTTTTCTGTTCTCTCGTAATCAACAAAGATTTGGGCCGTGAGTAGACGACATTCCCCGCGGAGTTCTACGTCTCTCGATAGAGTTTGGATGTGCTTCCTTCAGTTAAAATCTTTTGGAACTGCTAGAAGGTGTCGGTGAAAAAACTACAGCTTTGACTTCGTGCCTATGATCCATAAGTTTTGGAAGAGAAATGCTCAAAGGCAAACAATTCTCATGTGTAAGCGCAATGTTCCGTAATCACTGAGAGGTACGACGTTCTACTGAACATAGTGATGGATTGTTTATTCCAGACGCAACGTAGGAAGTAAGAGCCAAAAACCAGCGAGCTTTTGAATCAAACATACTTAAACACAAGGAAAGTAGGAGAAAGGGTTCAACCACTGCTCTCCTCCGCGGCAACACGTAGACTCATAAGTGAGTGATGATGGCGGTTGTTGGCTGTGAATTGTAATAGATTCTACCTCAGGAAGCCGAGTAGGATTTGCGGTAGTTAATCAGCAGTGATCCTCACAGATTTATATCCTCCTTAATTCAACAACCCTACTCGGCCTGAGCCCTACGTGAATGAGTTACTCCCTATAAGAGTCATGCGCCTTTGTGCATGTAGGCCAGAGTGAGCCAATCCCGTTTTCCCGTCTTTTGCCTATGTCGTCACACGAAGCTTTTTCTTCATGCTTTTTGCACTAATTCGGTAGCTAATCCAAGCCAAATGCTGTGCTGATCGTTGGTTGAGAAAATCTGAATTGTGCACTTAATAATATCTAAAGAACCATTTTCCGTACGAAATTCTCGGTAAACCATGCATTCGATTTCGTCAAATATCGTTACAGGTGACTGAATGGATATCTTTCCTGCAAATGGCTTTCGATCGTATACCGATGCATCGAGGCAGTGCAGCTTCCCAAACAGGACTGAGCTCATGGTTCGCGGTCGAACCAAACACCACATCTGCATTGTGAAGCATTTCTTGCCACTGCACTACACGACGTTTCGTTCAGTAACGATGCGTACGTACAAACATGAAGTCCTTCTGAATGACGCATTTCGAAAAAAGATCGAATGGAGAAGTATTGGGATTCGTACAATATATGTCTGATTACGTAAAGGAACGGAAAAGGAAGGAACATTTCTTCATCCATTTGATTTCATCAAGTACTGTCAGAGGTGAATGAAAGCACACTTGGCCCATACAGTGATGCTGATATCCTTCTAGACAAGTCTGGTACCAGTTTTCCCATTGCGAAAGGATAGAAGACACTGTGACATCTGGATGTGGCGTCGGACCGACGACCACGTGTTTGTTTGAGGGCACCTCTAATCACTGCTCTACCCGCATCTTCGGCTTGAAGCTACGCGGAGATTGTCAATGTTTACCGTTGATACACGCTGGAACGCCCTAGTACGGCCAAGTCGGAATTCTAGGAAGGATTGACTCGAGCAACATTCAACGACATTCGTGACGATGGTGAAGAAATCCACAAACACTAACCCACATTTAAAACGTTCGCAAACTTTAGTGGGTAGTGAACGCGAGGAAAGGTATCGAATGCCATAAATGCCGTGATCCGCGCAGTGTGATACATGTGACATTCAGGGATAAAACATATGATTAAAATGTATATAAAGACCAAATTAACGGCAAAAGGACGAGATTCGCTAAGGTGGGTCCAATCTTCACCGCCTGATACGGTACACTCTTTTTCATGAATTCCAAGATCTATCTGGAACTCTTTCGTAATCATGCAACAGTGAACCTGTAACATGGACTACTTATGGGCAACGGTATGAAAAGGAGTACATGGGATTACTTTAATATGAAAGAAATATAAGACCACAAAAAAATGGAAGCAAAGCACTCACCATCCATAGCTGCGACGTCGCACTTCTGTCCTGTTCTGACAGTATCCTTGCGTATGTCGTACTATGAAGGATGGAGGCTGTAATGGACGGCTTCTTGCCTATAGCACTCGTTGTGTTTAAACTTTACGTAGCGGTTTGACGGCTTTAATGACAATGAATTAGCGAATGAACACGTTACTCTACAAACTATTTGAAAAACAATCACACCATATTTTAATTATCTACCAAGGACTAATGCTAATTTTTGGTCCAATTGATTTCGTTTCCAAAATCGTTTTTCAGACACCTGACTCCTTTGCTTTGTGGACAACATCTGTGTGCAGGTAAGAAAGCAGCTCAAAAATAGGTATAAGTTTCTTACTTCTATTATTCTACTAAAGTGTAGTGAGCAACTGGAAAAAGTAGCGCTTCACGAGTGATCGTGCGGTCTCAGCATTCTCACCCACGGTTTCTAACAAAGTATTTTGTTAGGTGGTGACTCAGACGTTCCTCACTGGTTTCTCAGCACGTCAATGCTGAGGGTTATCCAGATCGTCATCATACGCATTCGCCCACCTTGTAAACCGGAGGAAGCTTTCTGATCGACTGATTCAATGATACAGGTGATTTGTAGCACTAACTTCCTCTTCCGTAAACATCAAGATGCATAGAATCGCTTTTCATCTTGGGAGACTCCACTGGGCAATAAATTCCTCGTTCTACATTGCTGTTCCGAGCACGCAAGCACTGATCATCCCCGATGACGATGTCCTCTATACATCGCATTCTGACATATAACAAGACTTTCAATGCTACGAGGAATGGATAACCATTGAGAGTACTTCTGATTCACCTTTCAACGCAACCACAAGACGCGGCATTTAGCGACCGTGCCGCTGAGAGCCCAGGTTTCAAGCGTTAGGAGTGTGCTGGTTTTAGGTAATTTCCCCTAATTCTTCGATGACTAGAGAATTTAGGTGTTGTAGACCTGACAGGATTTTAGAAGAGAGTTTGATCTAACACACTATAAGTGTGATCTTATTTATGTTAGTAATGACTATATGTTACTTTGGTTCACTCTGCAAAAATGCTGCTATCACTGTTTGGAATTGGTTTTAGCTTATGCCGTTTCTATTCCGGTACTTTTATACGGGCACATTTCATAGAAGTACTGTGATCCATTAAAGAGAAAACCTGAAGTAAAGTAACAACCGACGGCCCTGTTAAATTACCAGTCAATGGACTGCTTTGAGAAAAGTTCTTTGTCTATTTGTATTTGGACAATAGCGCTTTTCCCGACCTACGCCCATCAAAACATGTGTCGGACAAGACATTGATCGATAAGAAATGTAGATTTAAGATTCTTCATGTCAGAGTAAACAATGAGAAGTAAAATGGCCGCCACGTGGCTCACATCGACCAGTCGGCGCACTGCGCACTTCTGTATTGAATGCCCATCTTTTGTTATGTGCTAATCAGATTCGCAACGAGAGTAGTTCCTTCTTATTTTTAACTAAGAATAGTGCTGGCTATTTCACGTGCATTCGGCAGCACCTAAAATCCAAGAACAGTAACAAGGAAGGACGAGATAAACGGAGAAAAACGCAAGGATTACGCAGCAGTTATTGTGCTAAATGGATTGAAAATCGCATTACAAGAACGACCGCATTTACCGTTCCTGTGCATCTCCGCGTTCTTCACATATCTGCTGAATTTGTTTTCCTTTCACTTGTTGTTCGCTAGCAATTCTTTCGTGCCACGATTTCAGGAGTTGTTCTATTGATGGTGCATGTGCAAGCGAAATAGCACTACATCCACTATTGTCTATTTCAAAGCCCTGCAATGTCTAAGAAAATTATGTTCAGTAAATATTCGATATCTCCATTGAGTTAAAAAGGCTTGTTTCTTCCTGCACTGTTACTTCAGTATTAGTATCTGTTTCTCTGCACCGTAGACAGTTAATGAAGGTGCCATTTGCCGTTCATATGTTCCTTCTTTTGGTTTTCTACCTTTCAAGAAAAGCATCCAGGGTGAAAAGAGAATGATGAGCACAGAGCGTAGTTACTAAAAGCTGGAGAAAAATATTCACACAGTTGTTGGTTCAATCCGTCGTCCTCGGCAAACACCGTCATTAATCAGTCTGGATCGATGCACATTGGTGCGATACCGCAAATGAATGTATGGGCCAAATATTCATCCAGTTACCCCTGTGATACTTAAAAAAGTCCATTACATGGCGCATCGTTAAAGGATTGAACGAAAGTTCTACCCTTTTCTACCTATCTGCGCTGCAACAAAAATAAAACAATNCATTTGCCGTTCATATGTTCCTTCTTTTGGTTTTCTACCTTTCAAGAAAAGCATCCAGGGTGAAAAGAGAATGATGAGCACAGAGCGTAGTTACTAAAAGCTGGAGAAAAATATTCACACAGTTGTTGGTTCAATCCGTCGTCCTCGGCAAACACCGTCATTAATCAGTCTGGATCGATGCACATTGGTGCGATACCGCAAAGGAATGTATGGGCCAAATATTCATCCAGTTACCCCTGTGATACTTAAAAAAGTCCATTACATGGCGCATCGTTAAAGGATTGAACGAAAGTTCTACCCTTTTCTACCTATCTGCGCTGCAACAAAAATAAAACAATCCAGTTGTCGAAATCATGTTCGCTAGGCACTACAGTTGATAGCTATCGGACCAACATCTCCATATGCTTGCAAACATCTATCCGTTGCTTGTAGTGAAGATAAAAAATGGTAAAGGTGAACACAGTTCCTTGAAGTTATTGAGGAGATAATGACTAGAAATAAACAAGAAGCGCACCTTCGCTTTGTGAATTTTCCTTTCAAGTTGGTGTATGAAACGCAGTACATTCTTCAGCAGGCCAAATGCTACAGTGGCATGTAGTTCAGTAGCAGTGACGCGATCATAAGGACCACGTGTGCGAGTTCGATTCCACTCCGTGGTTACCAAGTCTCTCGCTGTCCCACTCCGTCTCCTTCCCTCCCCTGTGGGGTGAGAGGTTGGGAAAGTGGTAGTAGACTTGTCTGAAAATTAGCATTCTGCAATGGGAACACTCTGGACTCTTCGGAGATTTGACTCGACCAGCATTAAACAACGCTCGTAATTAAAGGAAGATCCTAAAGTTGCAGTCGAAGCCACTTTTAAAAAGTGGGAAAAATTGGTGGATGATGGATGCGAGAAAACAAATCGGGTGCGAGAAGTGCTAGGATCCGCGCAATAGATGTGGAAGATGGTTCATTAAAGAGGTTAGATGCAAAATGTTCTACGACCTGAAACATGCACAACTGATTGGGCACAATAGAAAGCGAAACAAAAGACAAAGTAAGTGTCTAGTATTTGTCGTTTACATCAAGAGTCATTTCTAGGGAATTAGCTTAGAGGGCTAGGTTCGCGATCAAGTGGAATCCAATCCGATGCCGATCCAGCTTCCGGTTCTGTCTTTTTGCTCGAATTTTTCAAAATTCCAGTTTTCCCTTCTTTAACACTAAAATATTTCAATATTACATTTATTACATGTAAATGTTACCTAGCTAAATTGTTGCAACGATATCATATGGAATTTTCGGGTCCTACCTCTTCGTGGCGACGCGTGTGGCGGAGTGGTCGGAGGCCCCTTGCAACACAAACATGGGATCGATTCCCCCGCCGGTGGCTCATAAAGCTTTCCATCTCTCCGGGAATAGCAAATTGGTACGAGCCTTTTCTGGGAGGATAGCATCACTGGCTCAATACATCGGCAGGCTACGTCGGCTTATCGTAAAGGTCAAATATGCATTCAATGGCCTCTGACGATTCTTAATGAAGTCGAATGCATGGCGTCCCCACGGGGATTGATCAGCGCCGAGAACTTTACCTTTTAGCTTTCACCTCTTCGTGATGATGTTGGTGTAGAACGTCGAAACTACTTTTAATCCAACCACTTAGGTGAAACTTTTACATTGTTTAAGATGTTTGAAAGAAATTTTAATTACTTATTGGCTAAATCCTTTCTTATCATGCATAAACTACCGACCTTAAGTTTCGAACGATTTCTTATCGACCATCTACAAATATGAACTAATTCGAATGCACACCAAAAAAATCAAATGAGAGCCAGTAGAGAGGAGAATGTGGACCCTACATATAGAAAGCTAAGTTTATTGCAGCTTGTCATACATGCGTCGTTTCCTAGTTCAGCAATCGCGATGATGTTATACAGCATACATTTTCTTCCATAAAAAAACACACAATATAATACAACAGTAGCTGACGTTTCGGCATTATCGCCTTCTTCAGAGCCTGGAAGGGTATACTGATATACAATCTACTAGGCCAAACGCTTCAACAACACTTACAAAAAGACGAAAAACACTATGGCAGTTACATGATCAACACCTTCTCGAAAAACTTACCGTCACCGTTTTTACAAGACTTCCAATGAGGAAGATTAGAACAGTTGATTATAATCGCATATGGTTGATGAATGCTCCACCCCACATCAGAAATCGATGTGAACATACGGGGTAAGGTGGCGTTTGACCTCTGGGCATTCATCCCTATTCATTGTAGGGTTTTTGGCATTTATCCAAAAAGCCTCAAGAAGTTTTTGCGCTATTGTCTCAGTCTCCTGTGCAAGGATATTGATTTTTACTTCAAAATCGTTTTTACCGTTTTATCGAGATTCTAAAACGACCGTGCGTAGGATAGCATGCAACCTTTATGAGCTTCAAGATCGACTCCGCTACCAGGCCAAGCAAGAAACATCAAATAGAGATAAAAATCGAGAGGCGGCGACACTACCACCATCCCTTTTCCCTAAAACATTTTTTAGACAGCAGGACCCTAACGATAGAGTTGACATAAAATTCCGCATGTTTTCGGACGGCGTTCTCGAGACCCTTGATGACTACCGCGATAGAAAGTTTATCTCTAACCTTACAGCCGCACAAAAATGCGGCATGCGAGAAATTAGAGAATTAATAAACTCGAAAACAATAAGATTGTCTGTTAGTGATAAGGCGGGA